GGGAATGCCGAATGCTGTTTCTGACAAGCTCATGGGATTCAGCTCCAAGTTTTAGGTTAGAGCTATTTATATTTGTAGAAAAAATTAGGGTTAAGTACATATAACTATTCAACCTTTTGGGCTAATTTCAAATTAGTCTCAACCTTGTAAAACATTTCAACTAACTACCGAACATTTTAAAAGTTAGAGATTTGTTAGGTCACTTGTGTTAACTGATGACTTTACAACATTAAGTGATGACGTGTCTAGCATTAAATGATGAAGTGGACAAATACTAAAGTTGGTCTCTACTAATCGTCATTTTTCGAGCTCTAATTTCCCAAATCGACTTCTTTCAGCCAATTTAAGCCATAAATTTTCTTAGCTAAACTGCTTCAATTGAAAATCCAAAGCTCTATAAATGACTTAAGAGTAAAAACATCATCACTAAATGACAGTGAACCTAACAAATGTCCACTTTTTCAAAATGTTAGGTAATTATTTAAAAAAAATTTAAGGGTTAAGACTAATTTGAAATCACCCCTAAAAGTTGAATAGTTATCTGAATTTAACCCAAAAGTTTATGTCCACATTATTTATGTCATTCCGTCTGTATATACTATATATTGCCAAATGCTACATGCTATTGTAAAAAAATAATCTCACGTATATTCCACCAATGTTGTTGAAGAGCGGAATCAAGTATTGGGCTGTAACAAGTAAAGGCTTTTGGAATACAATTTTTGTTAATTATCTAGCCCAAAGTTGCTTTTGTATTAAGTTCTGTTATTTATCAAGCCCACAGTTGCTCAAAAGAAAATTTAGAAAGTTGAATTTAAGTTAATAAATAGCTTTACATATCGACAAAGGTCAATATTCATTTCATTTCAATTGAAACAATTTTATTCTTAAATTTTTTTAATACATTCGATACACTAAACTTCAAAATGAGCTAGCTATAATAATTTGGTTCGAATTTACTTTTGGCAAGAATCAAATCTAAGACCTCTCACTAATAAGTTAAAAGAAATATCACTAGACTACAACACAAAGTTACAATTCTACTCTTAAGCTTAAAGTCAATAAAAACTATTTTCCTCTACAACTAAAGTCAATACCACTTAATAGATTTTCTCTTTATTGACCTCTCCTTAAAGCACAAAATATTGATTGACTCAATTCTAACGATAAAATATTTTGTGACTTTAAACAAATTGCCCCCAAAAAATTTAACAACGCTATAATGTTTGCTTTTTGGATATAAGGCCATCTCCAACCGAGGGCTGGTCAGAGGGCTCGTTTTAGCCCTCTGGCCCTCTAAGATATTAATATTTTAATGAACAGTACAAGACTGTATTTGCCTCCGTCTCCAACCGAGGGCCATAGGGATTGTTTTAGCCCTGTCACAAAAAACCTTCTCCAACCGAGGGCCAAAGGGTCATAGGGCCAAACAGAATTTATTATTTAAATTTAAAAACTACAACAACTTAAATTTAAAAACTACAACGGTAACTGGCCCAAAAACCAAAGAAATTAGAACTTAAATTTAATGAATGGTTTAGGTATTTATAGGGAAAAAAAATTAGAATTTTTAAGAATTAAAAAAAAAAAAAACAAATTGGCCCATAAAACTAAAAAAAAGTTTGAATACAACGGCTAGTCAGCTAGCCGTTGGATTCAAATTTTTGTTTAAGCATTCTATCGGTTATATCCGACAGGATTTTATGAATTTCTGGCCAACCCATGCAGCTAGCCCTTTGGCCATTTCAGATTTTGTGGGGCCCATGAGCTCTCTGATTGAGCCCTCAGTTGGAGATGGTTTTCAGGCTATTTTCAGCCCTCTGACCCTCTGAACTATTCGGTTGGAGATGGCCTAAACGATGTTCTACTCTAATTCATGAGAATGTGAAATTTTCTCCTATACCACACGTAAAATTATGAGCAAATTAAATTGAAGGCCCATTACAACCCAAAAGCAAGTCTGATCCAGTTACAAACCAGGCACATGAAGCATAGCATTGTCCAAGCTGTCTGTTGTCCACAACATCAATTCAACTGTGGAAAGGCAAAAGGCCGAACAAGAACACAAATGTTCCAAAAAGAAAAGGTAGCAAGCAAAAAACAATGAGGATGCCCATCTCAAGTAAAAACAACTTTTGTACCCTTGCACTTCTTATGTAAAAATATATGACAATTTGAGAAATTTCTTCAGTAATGTGGGCATTGAATAATAGACGAATGCGTGGTCGGGATCGAAAATATAAGATCTAAACATTTGTGAAAATCAAATCTAACGGTTAAAATACATGTAGCATTGAAGCCACATTCGACCATTTGATAGAAAAAGAATTGTGTACTAAAAAAGATTTCTCTAGTCACTAGGTGATGAAAAAAATGCATGGTCGCTCATTTTTAGATTTGATAACAAAGGTGGACATAAATGAATGTGCTTATAATATTTTAATCGCAACCTTTGATATCAAATTCGAATGTGAGTGACCATGAAACCCTGTCATCAGATGACTAATGAAACGAAGCTATATATACGAGAATGTATGTGTGGTTGATTATTTAAATTATAATACTAGCATGTATGTGAGGTTCATTATTTAGAACTTGAACATAATAATTATATGTGCGTTATAATTTAATGGACATGTAGCATCACATCAACATGTCACGCTTTTATAATCATGAATAATAGTTTATCGAAGTTAACCTTTGTTGACTTATAAAGAGGAATCAAAGAAAGAAAAGTACGAGACATGTATAATGTGCGATGGAGTTAGAAAAATAAGGGCTTGTTTAAGGAAATAGGCATTCCATCTTTCAAGTAAAACCATAGCAAAGGGAAGAAAAAGATGAATTACAATTTGCTTTACCGCTTAATAATACGATTTAGTTATATTTTTTTAATTAAAAATGAAAAATTTTAAATTTTAAATTTCATATAAAAAAAAAAAAAAAAGATCCGGTTGCTTTCACGACTTGTGAGATATTCGACAAGTCATGTAATATACCATATACTTGTCTCATATTCTCATGAATAGAGACGAGAGCGATTAATGAAGGAAACAACGTGTCATATGGTTTTATCAACAAAAAATTAATAATTGAAGTATGGGTCACCATTAGTCCAGGTTGACACCAGCTTGTTATTCCTTTCTTATCCAAGTCTTCACTTTAGGTCATCTCTAATAGTTGTCCTAAATTTAGCCTCTATTTATAGCACACTAAAAATTATAATTTTTAAATAATTAGTTTAATTATAATTTTTCCATCTTCAATGATGCATGGGCTATATTTTCTCTTTTTAGCATATTAAAAAACATTACGGTACATCACTTACACATAAACTATTATATATTATTTATATTAATTAAACTGTTATTTACACCTATATAGTATATATATATATATATTTTTTTTTTGAAGATGGTCTAATAATGTGTGTAGTTAGTTTGAAGAGCCAGGTATTTACATATATATATATATATATATATTTGGGTTTTTTTTTTTTTTGTTTAAACTTTAAAACATCAAACAACAGCTTTTCAAGAACATTTAAAAATATTTTCTAACTGCTCGCTGACGTTAGCTGTCATAACTGCACTAAATCAGCTGTTCAGATATTATGATTCATTATTTTATGATGGGTTGCGCCACACCTACTCATTGCAGGCCTTATATCAGTAGCAGACATGCATGGGCCTCATAAACAATGGGGGTCCGACCGAGGCTTCAAAGTGGGCTACATTTGACTTGCTTAGCAAACCTTTAGCTTGGGAATCACCTTTCAAGATTTCATTTAGCTCACAACTGGAGATGAGTTTTTGACAAAAGTGGACTATATTGAGCCTTCAGAGCAAGTTTATCTCTAAAAAAATGTGCAAGTATCTAGCTTATTTAATTTCTTTAGTGAACAGTTATAAAATAATTAAAAATTTTATTTTTAATTTATGACTTTATAAAAAAAATATTATTAATTTTTGATATTTTTATAAAATATTATTATAAATTACACCCACACACACACCTATACATACAATAAAACCACCATCGCCGTCCCAAATCTGCTCCCTATTTTTCCGAAACCCCGCCCTCTCTCTCACCTCCAAGCCCTCCTTCTCTACTTTCTTAGTAACGCCCGCCTTGCGCCGTCGGGCTCCTCTACGGCTGGTCGTGGTGCTGTCTGCTGCGAACCTAGACGCCAAGCCCACCGTCCTCGTCTTAGAGAAGCTCGGAGAACCCGAAATCAACCTCAGCCCCGAGGAGCTCTGCACCAAGATCTCGCTCTACGACTCATTGATCGTGCGTAGCGGGACCAAGGTCACCCGCGAGGTGCTTGAATCCTCTGGCGGGAGGTTGAAGGTTATGGGAAGAGCTAGCGTTGACATCGATAACGTGGATGGCCCGACTGACGTCAGATGGTCCGGCTGTTGGGTCTATCGATTCTAGGCCGGTCTCTTGCCTGGCTTGGGCTGGGTTGGAGTGATTTGGCTGGGGCTAGCCTATTTTGGGTGCTGGGTGCCGAGCAATCCACTCCTGGTGGACTTGCTCTCAGCTCTTCATTGGAGATGACCTTATAATTTTTCTCTTTTTCAATTTCTTTCATATCTTGCAATGTAAGTTTATTTTCCAAATTATGAAATTTATTTTTGTAAAAAATCAATCAAAACGAAAACTGGTTAGTTATTTAATTGTTATAAACTATACGAGCGAATATAGTATTTTAATTGAACCCTCAAATTTTACACTGCTAAATTTTTTTATTCATATATATTTCCTCGGACGTCTTAATAGAATTGATGCATGCAATTGAATTTTCAAATGAGTTAGACTTGGTCTAGGAAAATCATGCGTACTGAATTTCTCTATGGACAGATTACAATCCAATTACATTTTGCCGCTGTTAAGTTCTGAACATTTAACTTCAGCAACACATTTAGCCACGGTGTCTACAAACATCAAATGCAAAATGGGACACTACACAAGAAAGGAACAAAATAAAATACACAATCTTACAACGGAGAGATTCTACCCTGTCACCAAGTGTCTATTGGACGACATACAAGATTTTCTCCTTGCAATGAGGCACGAATCGAAAGAAAATAAAAGAAAGGAATAATAAATAAAAAGGTGTCATTTGCACCACCTAGAGGAAGTTCTTCACTGTGTTTGTTCATTCCCCTTCGGAGTTTGCATTCTCCTAATTACACTATGCATTGTTATGCTTTGGGGCAAAGCATCATTTTGGGAATGGATGAGTTGTTATTACCTATTTCCATGTGCCTGCAGAACCCAAAAAATGTTTAAACCTGATTAGATATTAAATTTGAAGATTGATCAAGTACTATATGATTTTAGGTTGAGCAATACTCACATCATATGCAACAAGAGATCTGCAGTAGTTGGTGTTTGTGAGCACTGTACTGCTGGAGCCACACTCACTTTCTTTGAGTGAAACTGTGGACCTATCCAGCTTCATATACCAAGGGTACTGATAATTCTGAGCAGTTGAACTCACATGGGAAGATGACCTCTGCATCCTCATAGCCCTTGGGATGTTCCTTCCCTCCATTGACGTCCTCCGCGGACGGCTTGGAGGCCTCTCAACTGTATCAATAGGCCTTTGCTTCGGTGCACTCTGAGACCGGGCTTTTGCCTTTGAAGATTGTGTGTTGGCCATGTAATTTGGGAAGAATGGGTAGTCATAGGACAAGGGCTCTCCGTAATCCGGCCTAGGGAAAGCGAATGGAGCTCTTGAGGGGTCAATTTTGGACATGGCAGAATAGCACTGAGGGCTGCTTTGCACTGTGCCAAAAGAGTTCTCAAAATGTGCACTGCAGGCTCCCGGGCTCCTATCAGTCAGCACCGATGGGGCCGGGGAGACCTGCTGGTTGGTTTCTTGGTTTGAGTATGCTTGATTTGGTGCATACTGAGTGGAAAATCTATGTTGTTCTGTTCTTTCTGTTAGTGAGTGATTTGAATAGCTGCTATTTCTGCTCTTTAAAATTCCCTTTGATTCACCAATATCCATCTCCACAATCTTAATGTTTTCTTCCATTCCTCTGTCAATTTCCTACATTTACACACAACCACAATGCACAACATTGGTCTACTGAGAAATTTATGCAATAAATAAGAGAAACAATACTATAAGTCGAAACAAAACTCAGTCGGTTAAGAACATTTATCCCTGCACTCGAGGTTCTGATTCTATCTTTTGTGTCATAAAACAGTAAAAATAAAACAAAACAAAGAGAATTTAGCTGGATTATCGAACTTACGTTATAGGTATGCCGGGACCGATTTTCCTGCAAAGATCTTCTTGGGGTGGAATGCCTAGGATTGACAGTATTTTCGTCTTCGACCATCCGGATCCTCTGAGCCCGAGCTCGAGCCTGAGCCGTCACCAATGCCTGCATGCACCTTAGAGTAGCCTTGGCCTGTTTTCTCACCAGGTGACCCCTTACCAGTGCCTGCAACTTCACTAGTCCTCTCAATGCACACAGTGCTTTTCTTGCCTGCAACAAACGCCAATACAATAGTACTCATTTCATTTTTGTGACAGTTTTACATAACGTTAAAGAGTCAGATCATCCAAAGCAAAACCAGTTGGAAATAAATGCCGAGTCCAAGAATTCTAGAATCCGCAATATGGGATTTAAATTCTCAACACCAACAGGGAATTCAACAGTTGCATACCAAATATGAACGGAAGACGGATTGAATTTTTATTGCAGCTGCTTCTTCACTTGCACCGGCCTTCTCGTTGGCAGCTGCCGTTAGCCGCATCACAGCAGCTGCGGCTTGCGCAGCAGCCACAGCCGCATCAGCAACCGCGGCCGTAGCTGCCGCCATAGCCATGGCGTGCTTTTTCTGCTCATAATTCTCAGACTCCAATGTGGTCATGTGCATTGGTGGTGGTGTGGTGGGCACTGCATCTGCACAATTGGAGTCCTTCGGACCAGCTGCTGATGCTGCTGTGGCTGATGATCTTCGAAAACTCCATCTCTTCTTCTCTTTCGGCGTTGTCTGTGAAGAATTGGAGATTGGAGTGGTGGGATTTTCATGACTTGCAACAGAACAATTCTGATTTGTGGGGTCTTTTTCCTTGTCTTTCTTCCCTTTCAAAATGCTTTTAAGCCATTTGCCTGTCTTCCCCATCTTTGTTAGCACTTGTTCTTCTAAGCTGCCATTGATTGACCAACAACGTATAAAGAAGAAAGCAACAGATGACAAATTATAGGCAGATCAGATAGATCTCTTCTTTGATATGTAGCTTTCAACTTTGTAGTTAGAAGACACCAGTTAATTGCTAATCTTCTTTAACAGCCTGGTCTTATGTTTCATTATTCCTTTTCTGTTTAAAAATGTAACTTCCTGGAGAGTGACATTTTTCTTGTATCAACTTTTATTTTTTTAGACTGCTTGGGATTAAGCTGCCCAATTAGCTACATGGAATTATACTAATAACGGAGATTAATTGCATTTCAGTTCTGAATTCTGATATATTATAAGCTACTAATCCTTTTTTGTCGTTGAGGTAAATTTTATTTTGATATCACCATAAGAAATTTTGACTGATATCACAAAATAAGACGGGCAAGCAATTTATCTATGACTCATAACTTCATTAACTATTGATATTGATATGCCTTTTCATCCACATGATCAATACTCACTCGTAAATATTTGATCCACTCTATATTATACACCTAACAGTTGTGGTCTTATTAGTTTTTCTTTTACATATAATATCGTTAAATAATATATGCACGCTATATTTATCTACGTCATTAACCACTTATATATATTCTTCTTTAATTTATTCAATTTAAAAATAAAAAGTAACCCTTCATATATATAACAAGGAAAAGTTATGTAAATCTCTTCCCATATATAATGTATTATGTATATTCAAGGTAATAATATATATAGAATGGGATCAGAAACCATGTGAAAGTATAAGGTCAAGCACAGGCAGCATCCTTGTAAGATACTCATTTGTTTTGTTAATGGATGGAGGATTTGCCCACTGGGGCCCTTGGGGCCCGGGTTTCGGATTTTGTAAATAAATTTGATAGGGCCTTATGGGGGATGTGGGTTCCACGTACTAAGGAATGATTTGGTATTGTTGTGTTTTGAAAAAAAAACTGCTTATGCTGTACTGTGAGAGTAAGCTCATTTTTGCTACTTTATGTTTTCAGCTTTTTTAATCCAAAACTGTGAAAATAAGTTGTTTTTAAGTGTTTACCAAAGACTTTTTTAAACTTAATTTCTTTTATACCTATTTTTTATAAAAGCATCCCAGTATAATAAGTATTGTGAGTTAAGAAGGCTCTGGTTCTTCACGTGCTCATGCAAAATCCAAGCTGTTGGAGTTGGAGTTGGAGTTGGAGTTTTTACTACGTTTTTCTTTTGGTCGATCCCAAGTGAAAGTGGAGCTGCGAATCTGTGACAGTGATGGTTATATTTTGATTCCAAAACCATCCACCAAGTATGGTCCTACAGCCTTTACGCTTCATATATATCCTGAGACTGTACTGTAGGGTCTCAGATTAGTGAAAGAGAATGTGCGAGAAGGGTTAGGTTAATGTGAATCACGATTACATGTATCATGGCATCTTTCCACGTTATATATGCCAGCCCACGCATATTCCTGATAGCAGGGGCCTCAGAGGGGTCCGGAAGAAGGGAAACCAAACTACTGTTGAGCAGTTTGACGGTTTAGACCTAATAAGCTTACTACTTTTTTTAGTCATTTAGCCAATTACAAGTTTTTACTGTTTCATTTCCTCGAACGTGCATTTTCCAAATCCAATATTACAAAGTTGTACCATTGTTATTTCTTCTAATCGTATTCAATTACCGGTTGACAATATGTAATGAGATATCTATAACAATGAACAATATAACCAAGATGTGTAATATATATATACACACACACACATATATATATCCACTTGTGAATAATAAATATGAATAAACATATACATCCTTGCTTGGAATATGCTTACCAACCAATATTCGTAACTGAATGAGTTGCATTCTCCATTTTTAATAAAGCAACTGACCTTAAAATAAATGCTAATGGAACTATATATCAAGTTTGCAGTCAAAACTAAAATATATCCAAGTAAGTAATTAAAATCATCAAACAGAAAGAGGGATAGTCCAGCTTCTTGAGGAGTTGATGGTTCGTACATGAAAGTGTTTTGTTCCCGACTTATTACTAATCATGGATAGTTGAAGCATGAGTAAACTGTATTATTATTCTACTCTATATATATGTATCTATACTTATAAATCAAATAGTTTTATTTTCACTAAACAATAAATCAATTAGTTGGCAGTGCACATGGTATGTGTTTGACTATATAATTCCTTTGACTATGTGTTTGCTTCATGGAAACAGCATTCCATGATCCTTCCAAAATCATAAAAACATTAATTAGAATACATCATCAGAATGGGATCGAATTTCAATTAAACTATAATTTCAGCCAAAAAATAAATCACATGTAGGATGCTCCATGATTGCTCCTGAATTGGAAATTTGTTATGATTCAGAAAAATTAAATAAAAGAAAAGCTTTTCCATCCAAATCAGTGGTACATAATTCAGTATCATCGGTGCAGACCAATTACAACCTCATGGAAGATGACAATAAATACATTTGAAAGGGATATTATTGGAGTGAGGTATGTATGAACATTATATAATAATGTATTCCATTTTTTCTTTTAGCAATTTCGATTTTAATATATCTAAGTTTTGATTCAGAAGATCTATTAGATGGGGGCCAGTATTTATTTCTATGTTTTTAGTTTTTCAACCCCAACCCCTCCATGTGGAGAGAATAGAAATGCATATCCCTAAAAACATTCTGTAATTCATGGTAATAATAATAATAATTTTAGTTATGGCAAGTTAAAGAGCAACCATTCGGTGTATCCGAAATACACGATATTTAGCGGCATTGTTGTACTTAAATTATAATACTTTAGAAGACATATTAAAAATGATGTTTACTTTTAATATAACACATAGCTCGTGAAACATCACATGGTAGCTACGACTTACATTTGGGGATGAGGATTCTCTTTGAACTATCTTTGTGAGGATCCTAGGATCTTTATATTACTCGTGCATTCAGCTTTTGTTTGGTATTGTTTGTGCTTAATTTTAAATAAAAAAATTCAAAATGATTTTTGGCTACACGATGTACTATGTATGATGAACGATGAACAGATAGGATGTAAGGATTTCTAGAATCCTCACAAAGAGAATCCGGATGAGATCCAAATCCATATTTTTGTAACTCTAAAAGTTTCTCCATATTAAATGGCTGATAATACTTTTAAAATTCGTTCCATATTAAAAGGCTCATTTAATGTTGAATCTCGTAAATGGCGAATTCGATATCAAATTACATTATTCATTGTTAGCTTAGCCAAACATCTCATCTTCTTAGTGTAAAAAATATATGACGTAAAAAAAAAAAGGCTCGTTTACTGTCAGCTAGCTGGATGTAATAGTAGGTTAAACATGCATGTGAAATGTGATCATGCTTTTGTAGAATAAAGATTAGATCATTTTTCTCTCTTTTGTTTGTACGTGCTTGAGCTTCTTTTGTGCACATGCTTAAGGCTTTGGTTCCTTCATCTAGCAATTAACCTAATTCATTTTGGTCGTTTCCTGAGGTTGGATGCAGCTAAAGGATATCACTGCATGCACAAAGAGATAAGACCATTTGATAATTAATTTCTTAATCAAACGCCTCCAAATGAAGTTGAAAACTTAATTAATAGTTAAGTGTACTTTTCGCATATTGATGACACATTTTCTCGATCTGCTATGAGACAATTTGGTAGCAAATGGGGTTGATGTCTTGCTAAGTACCATATACGCTCATGTGGTGTGCACATGCCTCTTAATAAATTTAGGAGATATTGCCAATCAACATTACAAATTTAGGAGATATTGCCCCTCAACAGTACAAATTTAGGAGATATTGTCACTCAGTACTACGGTATGATAGTATTCTTCTTCACTTGTAAGGCCATCTCCAACCGAAGGCTAGCCAGATAGCTTGTTTTAGCCCTCTGACCCTCCAAGAAATTAATATTTTAATAAACAGTGCAGACTCATATTCCTTACCATCTCCAACCGAGAGCCAAAGGGCTATAGTATGGAATGTGAAGAATTGAAATAAAATGAGGTAAGATAGTATGAAATAGTGAAAAATGTGTGAGAAATGGTGTATGAAAAAATTAGAAAAAAAATAAAAATAAAAATAAGGTTGCTAGGCATAAAAACAAAAAGTGGGCTGGGATCATAAAAAAAAACTAAGCCCTAAACCCTAAAGTGGGTTGGGCAATGGAAAAGAACCCAAAAAAAAAAAATGAAGTAAGGCTATCCAGCGGGCTGGCTAGCTGGCTTGTTGAAAGTGGCCAGCCGGTTGGCTATTTTAGATTTCGTCAAGGCCATGAGCCTTCTGGCCTAGCCCTCCTTTGGAGATTGTTTTCGGACGTTTTTCGACCCTTTGGCCCTCTAGACCCTTCGGTTAGAGATGGCCTAAGTGAGAGGTCGTAGGTTCAGATCTCGTGGATGGCGCATTCGATACCAAAAATCCACGAGTTTGATACCAAAATTAGGTTGCCCATTGTATGGCTTAGCCAAACTCTCCATTTTCCTTAATGTAAAATATATCGTTGTCCTCAAAAAATTTAGGAGATATTAATTTCAGCAAATTACTTTAAAAAAATTCTCTGCCATGAGGTTGAGTTAATTGGGGAACCAACTTACTAATTAATAATTACTTGATTTTATTGGCTTCTGTTCATAGGGGATGAAGGCCATTCTATAGGGGCCTTGGCTCCTTCTAATTACTTTGAGCGGGGTGAAAGGATTAAGTTGCTTTGGCAGTTGCAATTTGAGTAATGTGTGTAATATGACTCGACTAATTACTTGTGACACGAAGTAAGTTACTCCCACTTAGTTGTACTCCTTTTTGCAATCAATATACATCATTTCTTCACCCAAAAAAATTGGCCGGGACCACACATTAACAAGGTGTTTAAACGTTTTTGTTAAGGTGAACTCAGCACCTTCCATTGTTCTGTGCATCACCGATGATCTTGGATCGTGTCGGCTTTGTTCTTTAGTGGCATGTCTATCGTTTTTCTTCCAATGTTTAACTCACGAGGCAGCCAACAACCCTATCACTCCAAAAATAGGGATCAGCCACGGCCTTTTCCGATCAGATTCAGGTTAGTAGCAGTGCATGAAATCAGTAGCGTGTACTCTACTTAAATTCAGAAAAAAACTTGCATTTCCGATGACATATCATGCAATCTTCTTTATCTCTCTCTTCTCGTAACACTGTATTTTGTGGAAGACAAAAAAAAAAAAAAAAAAAAAAAAAAAAAAGAGGCTGCATGCACTCGTATGTGATCAATGACTACGGTTTGTGGTCCTTCCAAAAGAGCCCAAAGCTACGGCAGTATATTTTTTTTTATTCGAAGTTAGGGCAGGGCTAGGGCATTCTTCGCTAATTTTGTCACACCTAGGCTAGCTAGAAGACTATACATTGGCACTGGCCTATAAAGATGGCCGTCTCAGAAATTTTTTGTGCAAAACCATAGCAAATTCACATTTGCAATTTCTCGGGAAATAAAAAATTTCATGGAGGAAAAAGTTGAGATATGCATGTAACGATAGTTTTTATAAAATTCATACTACTCCAAGCCAAATCCAAACTGTGGCCTCTCTTACTGGAATAAACTTGTCTGGGATAATCGAATAGGCTGAGCACGGCCCAACTTCTTTGAAACCAAAGGCAAATACCTTTCTAATTTGGCCACAATAAACCTTATGGGCAAGGTCATTGTGTAACAATATATATAAGGGCCCGTTAATGAATTACGGTCAATAAACAATACGAGCTATAAGGCACATTGGTCAAAATTTCATAATTAATTTACCTCACACAAATTGTTTATCGTTTGTTAACGTTTTGTTAAACAATTTTTTGATTTTCAATAACAAAAAAAAGGTGAAAAATGCGTTTGACTAGTTGTTTTGTGAAAATAAACTCAGAAAACGTAAAATACAGAAAACAATATTTAGCCTAAGTTTTGGAGAACATCAAATTGATGTTTCCTCTGCTTTTCAAGAAAAGTTTTCAAAATACTAAATAATAGAATATATACTATAAAAACAAAGTTAGAGTGTAAAAAAAATAAAATCATGTATGTCGCCATTACTGTCACCATTGTCACCACCATCACCACAACATCTCTATCATCTGTCCATCATCACCACCACCACAACCATCTTTAACACTACCACCTCCCACCATTATCGCCACCATCAACATATCCCCAATATCATCACCTCTGCCACCATGGCCACCACCACTTCCACCGTCTCATATTCATATATTACATGAATGCCACTTTATTCATAAAAATTATGAAATATTGCAACCACAATGCATATCATAATTCGCATCAGTAAGAACCTATGAATATAACAAATTGGGAAGTAGGATCATTCGCTCTGAAGCCAATTACTAAGATAGGCCCAAATTCCTTTTCTTAGCCAAATTTCAATAAGATATTAGTCTCAGTTATTTTATTATTATGGCTGCATCTAACCTTCTTGTTAGACTGCCTACGTACCCGATGAAAGGATCAAGTCATTCGTAGTTCACAATTCCAATTTCTAAGTCCATTTTCGAAAATACTCAATTAACCAAAATATCTAACATTCGTGTTAATAATCAAAATACCTCAAATGGATACCCAATACATAATTAGAGTATTGAAAAACGCATAAAATGGTAACGTCGGCTCACTGATCACGCACCACCGCGCGTGGCAGTTTCCAACGAACAGAAACCCCAAATTCCGACGAACTCTAAAAATTACCAAATTTTAGTAGAACATAACACGGGAAAGAACATTTATACCTGGGGCAAAGCCTAGTTCGGCCAGGAAGTGGCCGGAAAACCCCTCGAACCACCGGAACCCTCGATTTGGGTAGTTGTTGATTCACCACCAAAACAAACTCCGCCATCTCATCTAAGGCTTGGGCCTTGCTCCTGGGGTTGAGATGAGTCCTTTGGTGGTGGTCATCGAAGGTAAAGCTTGCCGAAGCCATCGGAAAAAGGTTAAAGCCGCCGAAATCACTCGTGGATTTGTTGCTTTGATTTGTAAGTTTGGGTTAGAAAATTTAAAATCTAACACCATTGGGACGTTGGGCTTGATGAGAGGTTTCCATAGACATTGGAACCATCTCGAATGGAGGTCGGACATAGAAGATAGGACCGGGTCAGGTTAGAGTGTTCAGATCAAAGGGATCTGTTGCTCCCTCATTTCCCTTTCTTTTTTTCTTCTTCTTTGATTCTCCCCCCTTTCTCCTCTCCACCGTCTCACTGCCTTTCATGTGGCATCCTCATTGCTCCAGATTTTCTGGAGCCTTCCAAATTAATGACAAAATGACTATTTTACCCTTGACTTCAATGGTTAATAACTTCTTGTTATAACCCTGTTTCACGAATGGTTTTCGCCTACACGCTCGTGGAATCGTCCTCTATCCAGATATTTCAAGAAATACAATAAAATATATAAGGATGAAATACGTCCTCGTAAAATTTCGTTTAGTCAACTAGGGGCATTTTAATCTTTTCCCCTTATCGATATATTTTTTCCAAATAATCATATATTTTAATTCTTTTTTTTTTTTTAGGGTCGACCACCTACGCCATAACTAACACCATCATACTATCCATCACTCTTGCCACCATGGTCACCATGAGCTCCACCTTCCCAACATGGCAACAACCAACACCACTGCCACATACACCTCTGCCACCACCAGTAACACCACCATGGCCACAATTGACACTAGCGCCACCGTCTCACCATGATCGTCGCCACCTACACCTCCGCTGCCATAATAATCCAACGTCATCGCCCCAGCCACCATGGCCATCACCACCACCACCACCATCGTCGCCACTACCATCACCACATTCTCCACCCCATTACTCGCAACATTGTCACCACCATCTCCACATACCCCATTACGCTCACTACAACCACCAGTCCAACAACCATTGCTCCCAACACCAATCTCATCTCAACCACCATCTCTATTACCACTAGCACGATTAATAGGGAAAATGAATTTATATATATATATATATATATTTACATTTTAGATTCATTTTCAATGTTTTCATTCTAAAAAACCATTTACGGATTAAACTACCTAATGCATTCTCAAATCATAAAATACAAAATCATATTTTTCGTTTTTATTTTACAAAAATAATTACAAAATTATATTTTTCTTTTTTATTTTACAAAAATAATTCTTAGAAGTCGTTTTGCAAAACTTTAACAAACAGACCCTAAGTTTTCAGTGTCAGAATCAAAGTAATCAATAACTATACCACAAAAATGATTGAATATATACATAAGCATACACCAAATATTAAAAATGAACAATAAAGTGCATGGACTACAAAATTAGAGAATATTAAAAAACTTATAAAATATACGAATTTATGAATTATGTTTTGAAATTTTTTAGAATACTCCAATTTCAAAATTTTTGAAGATGCAAATCAGCATTTGAAAATTTTAATTTGAAGCGATTATAAAATCTTGGAACGAATTGAAAATGTTACTTCCCATCTGTTCCATCTGAAAAACAACCCTACACTGCATTCACCATTAATGAATTCCACATCAAGCAAGTTCAACAATTTCCTCCAATCTCACCTTTATTACCTAAACACTGCGCACATATCTTTAATTTCTGTATGTAGATTTTTTTCCACCACCTTTTGATGTATGTGTAAAGTAAGAATATCGCTTATATTACATAAATATATAATTCCAGAGAGGATAAAAGAGCTTCAACACAAAATTTAGCTATTCTTATATTAAAAAAAAAGGTAAACTCTGCAAGGACTTGTAGAATGATTAGAGTATTTATCTTTATATATCCAACATCTTGATTTCTCACAACTCTAATATGGCTTGTATCAACCAATAGGCTGACTCCAAATCCATTATGCCTAATTAACATGAATGAGGATCCTCTTCGGATCCGCTTTGTGAGGATCTCAAGGATCCTCTAATCATGTTCGTTTATCATACATCGTACGATCAATTTTCTTCAAGTACTGTTTATATTCAATTTTAAATTAAAAAAATTACAATAATTTCTAATCACAAGATGTACGATAAACAGACGTAATTAAAGGATTCCCGAAATCCTCACAAAGAGAATCCAAAGAGGATTCTCATTCAATTAACATGGCCAGAAACTCATAACCAAGTGGAAAGTCATCTGCTTGACATGTGTCTCTGACTGCATATGTAGCACAGCTTCCAGGAAACCTCCTCTCACTTTCTTTCCATGTTATAACATGCACACCCAGTCCCCCTGACGTGCCCAAATTAGATTGACCCTCTGTGATGTGTCTTTCATATTCTGTTCACAAAATAATTGATAAAAATGGCAGGGCTTGGGAGGTTCCCTGGGGTAGATCTTCCTCCTAGAAGAAGAAAACGGACCCAACGTCACGAAGTTTATGCTAATTACAGAGAACCACCTCCGAGGGAATGGCTGGAGCCATCGGTGAATCAAGTGAGCTCCATAGATTGGGATGATGCAGCTCATAGAGCTCGCAGGAGGCTAGAGAAAAAGCTTGGTTATCACAAACCCTCCTCAAGGTTCTCCCCCTTCTTATTTTTCGCACGATTTCCACGCTCGTTTTTCTTCTTGTGCACTTATTATATTGTTCATGTTTTTTAATTCTCTTTTGTTTTATTCAATTCAACTCTCATTGAAAAAGCTAGGCAAATGCAAAAAGACATAAAAGAGCGCAAAACACATGTTTTTTGTCTTTTCTTTTATAAATGACGCGTATTTTCTCTTAATATACACTCATGTTTATTTATAAACTTTATAAGATATAATTGAAAACTTTATAAGATATAATTGAAGGGAAAATAAAAAAAGGAGTGCAAAATGAGAAAATGAGTACACGAAAATTGTTTTCCTTCCTTTTTTTAATTCTGTGTAATTAATAATTTACCACTTTTTTTTATTGAACATATAACCAATTTATCATAGGAGTAGAAAGGGTACTGCAAGTTCAAATTCAAAACTGTTGGGGGGGGTCACGGGGCTTCTTCTCTCTGAGGGTCAGCAGAATTGGAAATCAAAAGGAAGGAGAAAGAGAGGCTTGTGGTATTTGTTTGGAAGATTTTGAGGCAGAAAAACAGGCCGTGGATCTTAGCTGTGGCCACAAGTTCCACTCCAATTGCCTTCTTCCATGGCTTCACGTCCATCCGGATTGCCCTTACAGTAGGACCCCTGTTCGTTGCTCTTAAATTTCAGGGATACCAAAGGGAATCGACTGCGCAGTTCACATTCTTGGATCATTGTACCAAAGCATATTGTAACTCTACATGTGTGGTAAATGTACTAGTTAGTAGTTTGATGGTTTCCTTTTGTTCAAGTAGCTTTTAGCTCGAGTCTAAGGAGTATCTACTTTTGCATCCGAAGCTGTGTTTGATCTTTTTCCTTGTGTGAGTTAAAAACATTGTCAACCCGTGACTTAGTACTATGATCTAAAAGTATTTCTCTTCACTTGTAAGTGAAATATCTCAAGTTCTTTTCTCGTCAAAGGTGAATATGAATCATATTATTGCTAACTCCTTGTAAGGTTAAGCCCACCCTCCTAATGTAGATAATATCATTTATTTTAAAAATATTGCCAACCTAATTAACTGGTGCCTGATAAGGCCGAACCCATTGCAATACAAACTGTATTAGATGGACATTGAGCTTGATGTTTTTTTACAAGATACCCAACAGGCCCAACTTGTGCATATGCATTCTTGAGTATGCTTTAAGCTAATTTAAACTATGAGAAAAACAACCGGAATTGGTGGTGTATCCGCTCAAGATAGCATGATAGCTCTGTCCGCGTCTACAACTTAAACAAAAGAAAAATCATGTGAAACATAGACCACAAATGGCATAACTAATACCAATTCTGGTCATTTTTTAAGTCATTACCGTAGGTTTTTTACTTGGATGGACTTTCACAAGAATAATAGTTGAATGAAGAATTAAAAAAGAACAATTCATTTTTATGAGATTTAGTTGTGCATTGGGTCCAAATAAATGTTTAGTTGTATTAATTTACTAATTGAGTGAAAAAAAATATTCATGGGTCATTTCGCTTTCTAAGCTATATAAGTTGAACGAAACATAAATAAAATTGCAATACGGTTCAAGTCCTGGGCATCAGTTGGAGTGGTGTGGGTTAAGCCTTTACCTGTTGACCGATTCGAGGTGATTGAGTTCTAGTTTCTTCAAACCGTTGTCGGCTGACAGACAAGAAATACCGAATCGGCCAACTTGTGAATATGTGGGTGGTTTGGGCGGTTTGTCGGGTTGTACGAACTGTCACGGTAGTTTCAAGGTGGTTTGTGAGTAACTGCATCGAAAATGGACGACGGCAACACAGAGAAATTAAGAGAGTGAGAGAAGAGCGGTGCGGGTTAAGCCTTTACCCGTTGACTGATCCGAGGTGATCATGTTCTAGTTTCTTCAAACCGTTGTCGGCTAACAGACAAGAAAGACCGAGCCGGCCAACTTGTGAATATGCGGGTGGGTTGGGCGGTTTATCGGGTTTTATGAATTGTCACGGTAGTTTCAAGCTGGTTTGTGAGTAACGGCATCGGAAATGGAAGACTGCAACACAGAGAAATTAAGAAAGAGTGAGGCATTTTTTGAATCACTACCCTTAACTTACACGTTTTAAATATATTTATATGCATTAATTGTTTTAATAATTTTTTTTATGACAAAAAGAAAGTCAAATATTTGAAACTAGAAGAAACTCCTCATAAACCAATCAAAGCAGCTGAATCCACATAATAAAATCGGTCTTTCAATTTCCATCTACATTATATTGAATTTACATTAAGAATTAAGAAAATAATATTTAATAAATAACTGATTGAATTACATTATTGTTAACCCATTATAAGGCTAAGCTCATCCCTACCCCTTAGTGTAAAAAACATTGTTTGTTAAAAAAAAAAAAAACAAAAGATCATTTGACAACTAATTGAATCATATCATTTTGCGCGTGCGAAAGACTTTTTTTATAATTAGCACTATGTGCCTCTTAAGTGTTTAAAAATAGAGAAAATAATACAACTGGTTGAATCACATTATTGTGCGCGTGTGAAAGACTTTTTTATCACCGGTGATACGCATCTCTTAAGATGTTTTGAACGTGTTTAGAATTAGAGAAAATCATATTTAATAAACAACTATTGAATCACATTATTGCTAATTCAATGTGATGCTAAGCCCATCTCATCCTCCTTAGTGTATATTAGGGGTGGGCACGGGCCGAACCCAAATTTAGAGGAACCAGACCTTACCTGTTGTAAATAGTAACAAGATGAGTCGAGCCAGGTAATGGGCTTTGAGAATTTGGAACTGAACCTAACCTTGCTCGTTTGAAATGGGCCGAAACGGGCCGGGTCCACGGGTCCAATATCTTTTTTTTTTTTGTTAGCCACAAAAATGACAACCTCATTGAGTTTGCAATTCATGCTTGAGCCTTGACGCACAAATCAAACCAAAGAGTTGTCTACTTCCTCACGGATCCAAGACCTTTTCCCTCACCATTACAAATTACACCAATTGATGAATCAAAACAAAATCTTACATACGCAGAAGTAGATTTTCCCAAAAGCACTTATTATGCAATCACAAGCCCAAAAACCCTAAATTCCAAATCATAAACCCACATAATTCCTAAATAAAAAATCCACATAATTCCTAAATCAATCGAAAAGCTTATGCAAAAATCCTAAATTCCTTAATCAAAAACCCTAATTCATAAATTACCTAGGGATTTGTAGGATGATGGTGGTGTTCTCGACAGCAAGGATGATGTGGTTGTGGTCGGAACTCGTGATTGGGAGGATCGGTGGAGAAGCAGCAGATGATGCCACAATGGTGATGGTGGTTGGCTGCTTAGTCACTACGGGTGGGAGGGAGAATGAGAAAGTGTAGAGAGTCAATGGACAGAGATGGGAGCCTGGGCTCGAGATTGAGGTTTGAGATGAGAAAGGAAAGAAGATTCAGGGAGGAGAGAGTCGTCGCCCGCTGCGACTACTCCAGGTGGGAATTTGAGGGAAAGAGAGTCTGTAGGTGTTAAGGAGAGCAAATAGTGGTGGTTGCATTGAGGAGAGCATATGTGGTGTCGAAGTCGGGATAGAGACCTCGAGGTCAAGGTTTGAATTCTAAAGAGGAGAGAGTTCAGTGAATTGGGTCTGAGAACACGAAGTTAGGAGTCTTGGGACGAGACAACTCAGATAAGAATAAGAGAGGTGATAGATGGTAGAGATTTAATCAAGTAGGAAATCAACGGTCCAAGGCGGGGGCCCGTTTTCTCCAATTTCTAGAACTGCCTCGCCCCGTTATTTACTTGGACCCGCCCTGCCCCGCCTCTTTTTGTATTTATAATTTTTTGACCCGCCCCGAACCGCATGAATCTGGCCCGACTCGCATCTCCAGGACCCGTTTGCCCACCCTTAGTGTAGATAATATCATTTGTTCGAACGAAAAAAAAAACAATCATTTGACAACTAATTGAATCACATTATTATGCGCGTGCGAAAGATTTTTTTTATAATCAGCATTACACGCCTTTTAAGATGTTTGAACGAATTTAAAATTAGAGAAAATAATATTTAATAAACAACTGATTGAATTATATTATTACTAGTCCATTGTGAGGCTAAACATACCCCCTTCCCCTTAGTGTAGATAATATCGTTTGTTCGAAAGAAAAAAAATCATTTCACAACTAATTGAATCACATTATTATGCGTGTGTGAAAGACATTTTTTATAACCGGCACTACGTGCCTCTTAATATGTTTTGAACGTGTTTAAAATAGAGAAAATAATATTTAATAAACAACTTATTGAATCACAATATTGCTAGCCCATTATGAGGCTAAGCTCACCCTCTCCCCCTTAGTGTAGATAATATTGTTTATTCGAAGAAAAAAAAACATTTGACAACTAATTGAATCACATTATTATGCGCATGCGAGAGACATTTTTTATAATCGGCACTACGCGCCTCTTAAGATGTTTTGAACGTGTTTAAAAATAGAGAAAATAATATTTAATAAACAACTAATTAAATCATATTATTACTAACCTCTTGTGAGGTTCTAATTATAAATATATATAATAAAAAACTGTACAAAAAGAATTAATTATTAAAAAATACTGTTTATATGATGAAAATACCCCTGCATTATTTGGTGCATTATTTTATATTGCTTTTGAACTTTTTTGTTTGGGGGGCATTTCTGTCCATTTCTTTTTTGTGAAGCCTGTGGCCCCAAAAAACACTGTTCATAGTAGTGTTGGCTTTATATATAGAGATTTGGCCTTTTTTTGGTGGTAATAGAAAGAAGGAGAAGGATTTGATTTGATAATCAATTGAACAACAAAAATCATGAAAGCATTGTGCATAGACTTCTATGCGAGATTGCAGAGAATTCAAATTTGAAATATTGATAAGAAAAATATCATTAAATCAATAACTAGTTGATAGCTTGATAATTCAATCCAGTTTAATTAGAATTATTTTCATAAAAAATAAAAAACAATATTTCATTTTGTCATGTTAAAATTTGACACCCTACAAAATCACCAAATCAATTATTTTACAAGGAGATATGATAATCACTACATGTTTAAAGAAATTTTAAAAAAAAATTAATGGCCTTAAGTGTTCGTTGGGGGTTTAAAAAGTTAAGCGCATATCCGAATGAGATGTTAAAAACTCCACATCAGCAATAATGATGAAAAAAAAAAAAAAAAAAAAAGAAGACAACAATGGGGTTTTCCAACCAAATTGCCAATTCTTATGTGACATGACATGAAATGACAACTAAGGAAGCTTCAAATCTATATTTAGGGAGTAATAAATGCTTTTTTTTTTTAAATTTTTTTATTATCTTTTGTTTTAAAAATACTAATTGCACTTATGAAAAGTAAATAATAGTTTAAATTTGACGTATTGGGTGGAGAATTTTTTTTTTTTAATCAAAAGATCAATGTGCCAGATAAGCCTTCAATTCTAAGTTTTATGTTTAAAATTGGCATTTTCTTTGAAGATGGTCTAAGATGTTTACAAAGCTAAAGATATTACATTATTTTTGTCAGCATTTCTCTTAATTTCAAATGGATACCTTTACAACACCACAACACAAATTATCTAGTAGATTCTAATTGTTGTAAGGCGCTACTTAATACTACAGTCTAGTGGTATTCCTCTTCATTTATAAGTGAGAGGTCTTAAGTTCGATTCTTGCCACAGACGAATATGAATCACGTTATTACTAGCCTATTATGAGGCGTAGCCCACTCCCTCACTCCCTTTAGTGTAGATAATATCATTTTTTCAAAAAAAAAAAAAAAAAAAAAGTTTGCTACTCACAAATAATATGTAGGACGCACGAAATTATATATGAAAGATGATAATATCATTTTTTTCAAAAAAAAAAAAAAAAAGTTTGCTACTCACAAATAATATGTAGGTTGCACGAAATTATATATAAAGGATTATCGTGCTCACACAATAATTCGTGAATTGGTATATATGCGTTTGTTGACCCCTAGAAACTACTTAGCTTACCTCGCGCGCAAGCCAAATAATTAATGAGCTAACTACGTCCTTCGGTTCAATGCAAGGCATGCCAACTCGACGACTAAGCTTGATCGGTGAGTAAAATGAATGTGGTGCTGGTGAATGCGCTTGACTTCTATATCCGGGCAACTGCGGCTGAGGAAGAAACACATATCAGCCTCTGGGTTCTAGAACCTGAATATAAGTGTGCTGAATCGGTAGAGAACTTTATAGACACAAATATTCAAAAGAGATAAGTGTCTTGATTGTGAACTTGGTTCAGCCGTCAGAATGCCGAACTTTGAAGTGTACTGTAGAATATCCAATCATAAAAAGTTTCTGTTTTCAATGTGCCGAACTCTAGGTGGTATGGTAACACCCCAACTCACCAAGAGGCTAATGGGATGACCTCTTCCAACAAAGACTCATAAATTCCTTGTTGACAGAGACTTTGATAGGTAATCAACCAAACCCGAAACAGAGCTAGTGCTATTTATCCAAACTGAAGGTGTTGCCAGTTGCCTCTACAATGCTGTTTATTCTAACTGAAGGTGTGTTGGCAAAGTTCGAATGTCAGTTTTTTTCTCAAAATTTTGAGAGTAATTCACATAGAATGAGAATTTCGTAGGACAGATTTGTGTGGTGAGTTGAAGATCTCACTGTGTTGGAGGAGCACTTGTATTTATAATGTTAATGTACTTTGATAAACACACTGTGAAGTTGCTGCCATAACCTGTGAGTACCCAATTTGTCATTAAATAATAGGAGTAGGATTATCTCTCATCCTATGCTCATCCCCTTCTCTCCCCTCCTCTCACACACTCATTTTTGTCTTATTGTCTCTATATAAAAACTAATATAAGATGTTGATGTGGCTTAATCGTGACTATTCAAGTAGGAGGAGAAAGAAGATAAAGGAGATTAGAAGGGGAAAAAATTCTAAATAATATTCCTATGAATATTATGTGTATATATATATGTGTGTGTGTGTGTGTGTGTGTGTGTGTGTGTGTGTGTGTGTGTCATTAGATTTCCAAGTTCCACCTGTCATAAATGCAAGACGGCTATACTTGTGAATAAGCCACCTAACATGCATTGGTTCCAGAAAGTTCCCTCACTTCCACAAACTCTCTCTCTCTCTAGCATAGTGACAAACTAGCCACCATCACCACCATTTCCTTTGGTAATTCAACCTCAAAACCTTATATCTTGAATCTATGGAGCATGTGGAAAGCGACTGTGGTCTTGCATGCACCATCGGTGCACTGTCAAACATAGTGTCGTTGTTACAATAGAGCTAAGGCGACGGCATGTGGCGGTTCCCCGATGTGTGGGTTTTTCAGTGACAGAGGAGTTGGAGAGAAAGAAGAAAAAGGCGTGCGACAGGTGGAGTGGTCGAAGCTGGTGAATGAAAGGCCCGAATTGATTTTTTTTTTTTTTTTAATTTTATAAAATTTTTATTAGTGTTTTTTTATTTATTATTATTAATTGTTTACTTTTTTATATTTTTTTATTAATTTTATAATGTGGCTAACGTCATCATGACATTAGCCTTGCATCACTTGGCCCTCAGGCTCTCGAGCCACCAATTCAAGCTAGGCCTCTCACTTGCGCCCCCCACCCGACCTGCCTAATCGCCCTCTGGGCTGGAGCTTGTAGCTCTGGCTATTGGGTTGGTGAAGTTGTTGGTCCATCAGGCTAATTGTCCTGGTGGAGTTGCTCTAAGAATCCCAAATCACACTGAACCATACTGCTTTTGAATTGAAGATCTAGTTTGCATTTCATTTATCTCGTATAAGAAAATGTCAAAATCATTCATTTTTTAAGGATAATTAGTACGATTAAAAATCATAATATTATTCCTCAACAATAACAAAATTATCTTAACAACTTTCCATTCAACCTTTTTGCTCACTCAACAATTTTGATTACTCGGACCGATGACACAAAATCGGATCCAAACAGCGTTATAACATGAGACCATTACAAGTAGCACCACATATTCGATGTTGAATATTTCTCTACTTCTACTAAGCCTAGAAACATTGCACTAAGCTTTAGTAGCGTACAGATGGATGCATCCAAATATCACCATCATTTGAGTTCCACCACATCCTTGTGTGAGGTTTGAGTTTGGAATTTGGTGGTAGACGCTATAAAAATTAAGTGGTCGTTAAAGCAATTGAGGATTGATATAGCTATAAGTAACATAGCTTCTTTAATAGTGGGCGTATATTTCAAAGACGAACGTGCATTTCTTTTCGTTTTTTTTTTTAAAAGATGACAATTGGTGGTAAGCTACGGTTATCTACTTATTCCGTACCCGAATAGGCTATGGGTCACCTTGCCCGTAGCCATAGTCAAACAGACTCACCAGCTCGAAGCATCGAATCCGGAACCTCCCATATTTTTCTATTTATTGGGAAGCAGACTCACCAAATAACCGTGCATTTCCAATTGTTTGAAATTTTCATCCTATTTGCCAATCAAATATAAGACAAGCCAAAAACAATAAAAAACCAAAATCAAACCATCATGTAACAATGACATGTTAATTCACTATGTATGAGATTTAGAATGAATGATTATGATTCTCAATTTTTCATTTACTCACACTTAAAATATGCATAAATATGTGAGTCTCATCAATTTTAAGTATGAGATATGTGAAAAATAAAGGTACCCCTACTAACATTAGGGTCTTGTTTTATACCTTTACCCAATCTTTCAGATCTTCATTCATTCATATGGCTATACCATGTAATGTAAGTTAACATGTCCTCAATACAATTAAGGAGGAAGAATCTGTTGAAAGATTGTAAAAGTTCCGATATGTTGGAAACTTGACAATAAAAATACAACGTATAGTGAATGGTTCCGTATCAGTATAATTAACACTGAACGAAATTTAGACAAAAGTACTGCAGAGGGTCCAAACCCCAACTGCCAAGTACCCAAGATGCCCATGTAAAGTGTGAACCTTTTTGTCGGCTCAGCCACGTTGACGCGGTCTGCAATGTTATCTACGGGAGCCTAACCTGCCAATTTGAAAAGTCCATGACAAAGTCAATTCGATCACGGAGCTTTTACCTCACTGTTTCTCCACTTGTCTCTCCTTCCATACCATCTCATCAGCTTAATCAGTTCTGTCTCTGACACTCTGTGTAACCACTTTTCAGATATGGCTTCTTCTTCCACCTCTGTCTTTGCATTGCTTGTCATATTTTCCATCCTTGTTCTTCAACCAGTCACTGCTGATCCATTAGGTAACCTACTGCCTCCTATCTCCTCTCCAATCTTGGGTTTGTTTCATTTCACTTCACTCTATAAATTCTGTCAGTTTTCGGTAATTTTGGGTTTTTCTTTCTGGGTTTCTTTGATTTTTTATGTTTACTGTAAAACGGTGAATTTCTTGTGATGGCAGATAATTTGTGTAAAGAAGTGGAATGTGGAAAAGGAACTTGCAAGCCTTCGAGTAATAGCACTTTCTTTTTTGAATGTGAATGTGATCCTGGGTGGAAGCAGACTTCTTCTAACCACACTGATCACTTCAAATTCCTCCCTTGCGTCATTCCCAATTGCAAGTCCTCTCTCTCTCTCTCTCTCTCTCTCTCTCTCTTCTAAAATTATTTAAGTGGGTTATGAATTTTGTGTAGTAATATCTTTCAAATTTTGTTGTTGAATTCAAATACTTTGAATAGCTCTTACTTCCTAGAGATGAAGAAAATCTTGATACAGAAAATTATTGTTTTTTTTAATAGAATTAGACTGGTAGTTTGGTTGGTGATTATAGTCTTAGAGATGTTTGGTCATAGGATATAGTTTGGTGGTAACTGATTAGCCTTTATTTTATAAAAAGTAATATTAGGTGGTTGAAGGATGCTATTAATTTGGCTTGGAAAATGTTTGTGCTAGTTGATCACTGCTACTTAATGTGAATGTGACGGGAAGGAAATACTTGCTTTCTGTAGATGGCATGGCAGGATAAAGTAATTTAGAGGTCGCCCAACTAGCTTTTAGTATAGTGGTACTTATGTTGCCAATGTTGAAAATTGGAATAAATTTCAAGTTCGAATTTCCCTCTCCGTTGATTTAAAAAAAAGTAGCGTAGAGGTCTATAACTGGAAGAAAAAAATGTTTAGAGATGAATACAGATATCACCTCCCAATGGTAGGGAAAAAAAACAGAGCAAGATACCTGGTTAGAGATTTACACACCAGAACAGAAAAATGACGTCAAAGTGTATGTAGCCATCTAGCCATGACAGGCAGTGCAGGCCGAAAGGCGAAAACTGTTAAATCAAATGCGCATTTAATTTAATTTGGTAGGGCTTGTTAATCACACGCTGATCTTTCCGTGGAGTACAGTTAAGGTGAAATGTTTATGGAGATTAGCTTACACTTTCGGATGTGATTTGGATGTCCTACCTATAAATCAAAGATTGGATCATAATCCTTCCTTTTAATTGGTCGAGATATGTCCTTGTCTTCCGATAATTGTTTCTTTCATTACCTGGATACTTGCTAATAAAAATCATTGACACGATGAAGCTAATGATTTTTTGGTGTTTGTAGGTAATCTGGATTTTTCCTGCACAAAAGCTCCAGCCCCTATTTCAGATAATGCGAGCAAAGCCAACGAGTCATCAATCTTTAATCGTATTAACTATTAACTCTCATATTTATATAAGAAATAAACTGTTTAACTCTTACCTATTATACCATCTCCAGCACTAGCACTGCATAATGTTTGAGTTCTTTTCTAGCATGCCTTCACACATTTTGTGATTTTGGTGTTATAGCTTGCTTTTGGGCGTATTGTGGAGGCGGCTCATGCAACAAGACATCAAGATTCACATACAGCTGCAAATGTGCTGACGGTTATTCTAATCTTCTTAATGTCACTACTTTCCCTTGCTTTGAAGAATGTAAGCACTACCTAGAAATTTTTTAATATTGATGATGATGAAGAACCACGCACCAATTTCGTTTCAGAAGACGGTATCTGATTAAGTTTCATTTCATGTGTTAAGGTGCAATTGGACTGAACTGTGCAAACCTTGGGATTTTAATGTCGAATAAGTCTACTGCTTCACCGCCAGCATTATCTGGCAGTGGTAAGAATCAAGGTGAGACTAGAAACTCAATTACCACATCAGCACTTATTTTTTGACTGAATGGTGGTAATTGCCTCAAGGTATTTGTATTAGAACTATGATTCAGTACAATAAATCTCAATTTAGGACATACCAAAACCTTAGAACGACATTTTCTTAAAGAAAGCAACATGTCCGGATCCTGTTTTTCTGCTGATGTATTTACAAACCGGCGTTCTAAAAAGATCATTTTGATTAAAAACATTGACAAACAGCATATTCTTACTTGAATTCAACATTTGTATAGGTTAATCCACTTAAATTTCTGTTGAATGCGGACCTCCAAGTTACACTAATTCAATTAAAATAGCTGTTTGATTTCATATTGATGATCACATGTTTAATCCATCTGTTCTGCCTTTTGTCTCGTTTGCAGCTAGCTCGATGGTCCAAGTGAACTCTGCTGCATTTGTGATTCTGATGATGTTTGCTGCTATGATTCATTGGAAATAAAAGGAGTTGTTCCAGCCTATTTTTTGCACACCTTTGAATACGTGGTTGATCACTGCAGTATTTATTTGATATCACGCTCCCACCTTTCGTTAACTCTCACATTTGCACATCTATTTTTCTGTGCGATGAGCAAGCTGCCGCATATATTCACGGAGGTGCTCATCGCATTCCTATACTTGTTTTTCACCAATAGAAAGAGTGAAGAGGATTTTTGGTTGATTTGTACATAATAATGCTCTAGTAACCTTGTTCACCATGTAATTGTTCTCTCTTTACTTTTCTTTCTCTGGGTCTGCTTCTCTTGTCATTCCAGGCATGAAGACTAAGGCCCAAGTAATGGTTGTATCTTTTTGTCGACAGTAAGCCCATCTTCAACATTACAAAAGTACTGACATGACATCATAGGTCAAAAGTGTTTATGTCCAAAAAATCACTTGGGAGTGTTTTTTGAAAGAATCCCTTGCAGATGGCACTTCAGTTGTCCTTCCAAGAAGGATTTGCACGTCTGTTAAAAATTCTGTAGTGCTTCCAATAGAAGTGTTGTTACTGAAAGCACTTTTGAGCGTAAGTGTTTTCTAGAAAGAACTTTAGTCGGGAATTTGAAAATGATATGACCTTTTGCAAATCATTAGATGGAGGCCCAAGATTCGTTGGTCTGTAATATTCACCCCAAACCACAAGCACAAATCCTCGGCACACAATATAAATCCCAAGGTAATCCAAAGACTCAATTATTGTAAATCAAGAAGGATAGAAGAAGCACTCTGAGAGGGAAGGATGTGGCCGGTGGACAAGTTCCTTAAGTGACAGTTCAATCAAAATCTTAATAAGGATAGTAAAGGAAATAGTTTTATGTCCATCTACGGAGGAAGGCTCGTCTTTTATCCTAAATGAAGATGTGGTAGAAGGAAGGGCTTAAGATAGATACGGAATGGTAAAGAGTTTATAGACTGCCTCAGTAATGATAAGGAAGTTTGGGAGGTAGAATTTCAAGTATTCCCTCTTCACAATTAGTCATTGACTCGCTGAGAAATGGGATCTAAAACTTAGGTACTTTTTGATGCAACTAGATTTACTTTTCCTTGTTACAAGGCAAACAAGGGGAAAGGAGAGAAAAGTAATGATCCCCTATCCTTTTCTTTTTCCCAACCCGTAGTCCATACCAAACCTATAAGACTATAAACTAAAAGATATTAAGAAGCCCAAGTGGCATAGAGGATCAAGGAATGATTCGTTTAGATGTGCTTTTAAAATGATTGAAAGCGCTTTTAAAATAATATTTTTTATTCCAAAAGCACTTAAAATGCTTGGGCTTCTTACAGGAAGCACTTTAAATGTTTTTCCAGAATTTACTTACATTTTTACTAAGGATTGGTTCCAAAAATATTTTCATCAAAAAATGCTTTCAGTCATTTTAAAAGCACATCAAAATGAGCTCGAAGTCTTTTTCCTAAGATTTTCCTTCTTGAAGTTTCGTTCCGTTATCACCTTTTTAGTATAATCCATTTTGATTTGTTTTTGTTAATTCTCAGATTTTTTTACGTGACTCGAAAACTAAACGTAAGTTACAAGCTTGAAATCCCCTACTCTTACGAATCAAAACTTGAAATTAAGTCATGAATTTGGCATGAAAACCCCCAATTTTGTACAACCGAAAAGGTATTGCCCGCCTGACAAATTGGACTAATAGATTTAGCGGAATAATACAAAATGCAACATGTAAATGAAAATTCAGATAAATCATGAGAACCATCGGTGCAATTTAAACATCCTAAACTTTTGTTTTATAGGCAGTGGTCATATTTCATGCTTTACTGCATACTTTATATTAGATATGACCACCACACCTCAATTCACACTTGCTCAAAGTTGAGCAATCAATCCCTCATCAAATCCCTTGAAAAAGTGAGTAGACTCACAAGCCGATACAAAAACAACATATAAAAAACCTAAAATCCAAGCCATCCCATCCCATTATATCTTTTACAATCTCCAGCCGCATCACCTCAATCCTCAAATGTACAAAAACCTCTCTCAAACGGCGGCGTACGGCCCACCATTTCAGCCACCACCATCATGAAATAGCCCTTTATGACACAGTGTAGGGTTTCGAGCCAGAGCAACCACAAAAATCCTATAATATTAAACACTTCACTTCCATCTGAACTAGCAGTCAGCTTACCTAGCTAATGAGTCGTAGTGACAGTCCTCTCTCTCTCTCTTTTTTATTTTCCTTGGCATGTCGTGTGAATTATTGGTGGTTTTACTTCAACCTTGACATGTTGGCATCCCCCTTGATGGATTTGGATCTTCTTCGGAATTAATGGAGAGAATCCTTCTTATTGATTATCGTGGATCGTTGGATTTTTATCCAACGATTACAAATAAAGAGGTTCATTTAAAGTTATAATGATTATAACTGTTAGATAAAAATCTAACAGTCCATGATGATTGATGAAGAGGATCCTCTTCATTAGCTCATGAGAGAATCCAAATCACCTCCCCCCCGGGGATATCTTGGCCTCTGCTTTTTCAATATTTCTCGGCTTTTGGTCCTCTTCTCTCCCTTTCCCGACTTACAAAACTTTCCTTTCTTGTTTTTAGATTATTTTCATGGCCTTCATGTATCGGCATTTCTGCTCTTTTCTGGCAAACTCTTTGGTATTCCCCTAAAGTGAGTGTTGGTATTAACCCCTCCCCCTCCCCCTTGTCCTTGTACCAGTGAAAACTGTGAGATTCATATCTTTGGATTCTGGTGTGGGTGGTGGTGACCTTTGGAAATTGGATCTAAAAGACTGGTGGTTTATGTCACGTCCAACAGTCTATTTCTCTGCTGCAAACGTTGTCAATCATGTCTGTCGTCAAATGGGAAATTTTGTAGCTTGCTCTTCCTCTTTTTATTTAAGATTCACAACTAAATTCTCACCCCACAGCAATTGAAAAATAAACGTCTTTATCACAAATAGTTATTGAAATTGACTTTTATCATCAAAATTATCCCAGAAATTGAAAATCAATCAATATAATTCTTGAAAACAGATGTCGCAAATCAATAAGATCATTCCATCAATTCTGTTAAAAATTTTGTTAAATGCTAATGTGGTATATAAATAGGTCATATAAGTCTTTTTATCTCCCAAATTGTCCTTGAAATTGACTCACGACATCAAAATTGTCCCTGAAATTGACTTGCGACATCAAAATGGTCATTCAAATTGAAAATCGATCAATGTAGTCCCACAAGTAAGTGTCTTAAAGCAATGTAGTCATTTTATCACAATTTTGTCAAAAAATTATGTTATATCATGATATGACACATAAATAATAGATCACACAAGTCTAATTAAATTTAAAAAATTACAAATAGGTTTAATAATTTAATAGTTAATAAAATATTGTGAGTCCAAAAACCTAGTCCTGCAATCACTTCTGATCCCATTCCACATTCCTCTACCTTTCTCACTGTTTGTTCTCTAAAAAAAATATCAATACATCTATCTTTAAACACTTCGACACACTTCGCTGAATTAAACCTAGATCGAGATCACCTGTGGTGACAGCTTGACTCATTGGCAACGACTTCTGGGACATCACCGTTAACATTTAGGCAATCAACATCCTCACAACCTTAATCTTGGAAAGCTTGTTCGGCGCTTCCCGGGTGGTCTGGTGACTCAAAGAACGGCAAGGTATGGCTTGAGATAATGAGGTTATAATCGAGGTGTGTCTATTGTTGGTTGAAAACTTTTTCCAAACCCCCTCTTAGGCCTTGGTTAAGTCTTATGCATTTGAAAATTTATAGAAGGAATCTCTTTTTGAAGTAGGTCCTACTATAAGAAAAAAAAATTCTATTGTGTGAAATGGTATTTAGACAACTACTTTTTTAATTAATTATTAAACTTATATCAGCACATAACAATTTTTTTTACATAATTGTGGTGGAATGATTATATTGATTTGCGACACCTATTTTCAAGGACTACATTCATTGATTTTCAATTTTAAAGACCATCTTGATGGTGTGGATCAATTTCAGGGGCCATCTTAATGGTGTAGGTCAATTTTAAGAACTTTGTGATAAAAACTTGTAAATCTTATAGGGTCCATTTATGTGTCACGTCAGCACTTAACGGAATTTTTAACAGAATTGTGACGGAATGACCACATTAATTTGCGACAACTATTTTCAGGGACTACATTGATTAATTTTCAATTTTAAGAACTATCTTGATGATCATGATCAATTTCAAGAACCATTTGTGATAAAAACCTTTGAAAAAATAAACTATGGGATTTACTGTAAGATTATTGATTTCACACTTGCAATTTTTTTTTTTACTCATCTTTATGTTTTTTATTTTGATTTAATATATTTTAATATTAGAAAAAGTGGTGACAAAAGAAAAAAAAATTTCGAAATTCACTTGTAGTCTTACCGATGCGGCATATATCATGATTGGAAAATTAGGCTAATAGTTACATAAGAAGAAAAGAATCATTGTGAACCTAGAAAGCGCACAGAGCTTGATCCCCCAAAGGCGTAAACTTCATCATTAGCAAATTGAATTGGTTTTGTGGGGGGCGGAAGGCTCCCACTAGCCAACTAAGTTCTACTTGAGGAAAAAGAGGGAATGGAATAATTAGCAAATGGCGTGGAGGTTGGCCTCCTATTTAATCACAATTCCATTCGTTTCTGGGTCAAGATGCCATGATTACATAATATCATATACCAATTTTCTGCTAAGCAGATTCAACATATAAACGATATGACAATTGACAACTTAGCACTTCATGTGTCAATCTATTGATAACCATAGTTCTAATCAGGGGAGTGCTGACTTTAACTTTACATCTTTCCATGACTTCTCACATGTAGCAATATTATGATCGTTAGATTTCATATGCATGTTGATTTATTTTGATAATATGGAGAAAGTTACATTTTAAAACTAATTAAATAGAAAGTGTAACTCAACTTCTGAATTTTTTTTAAATAACCCGAACTATTTAGTAGCACTAAAAATAAATTGTCATAATTAAATTGAAGAACTAATATTCTTGCTTACTCGACAATCTAATAAATAATAAGCGAGAGTATCCAACTTACCCAACTACACATAAATACTTACAAAGTATATTAATTTTCTAAAACCACTTTAACTTCACGTCCTCGCAATTGTGCTGCCTTACAAATCAGTGAAATCAGAATATGACTAGTGAGAAAGTTTGTTGACTAGTATTACTATCAAGAGGTGGTTGGTGGTGATAACCAATGAATTTG